ACGGCAATTAATTAGTACCTTAAAAGACAGAAAAGTGAGATATGCTGAGGCTGTGAGCCCCGTAATTCTACCTGTGTCACAGCGGCAGATGCCTTTACCTCCCACTGCTGGACTAGCACTCCTATCTATGCTGCCCATGGAGAGAGGGAGGGAGAGTCAAAGAGAAAAAAAAAAAAAAAAAAAAAAAANATGGTCCTGGTCATCTAATAGTTTGTTTACTTTTTGCAGGGTTTTTTCTAAATAATCAAAAAAGTACTTGAGCTCAAGTTTCTGCCAAATTTTATCCCAGTGTGACTCAACTCAAGACACCCAGAAAGCCCTTCAGCAGCAAATGAAGAGATGTCAGTCATGAGGTACTACGTAAGTTACATAGTTGGGTATAGTTCATAAAATAAATGCTGTTTGTTTTAACATGCTGAGGCAGTGTGGGGGGCTTTTGTTGGCTCAATAGATTACTTTTACCCTCTGGATTATTGAAAATTCACGCGCATAGAAGACAACAGTAAGACAAAGAGATCCCACATTGTCTTTTGCAACAGAACCACTGAGAAGTAGCAGTGGGTAAATTCAAAAATAGGTCATTCAGCTTCTCCCCACCAGCTCACTGCAGGGTATATTGTCAGTTTAATTTCCTCATTTAGTTCCTTCTGCTTCTCATAACACTGCTTTCGAATCACAACAGTGTCTGGGAGTAGGATATGCCAGCTGGCTTTGCAATGTTTTGTGTACACACAAAAATCCTGACTTCAAATGAGATTAACCTTCAAGTAAAATTAATATACACACAGCATAGTGAGGAGCAGTCACCAGCAAGCAGCATCTAAGAAATGGAGAAATACAAGGTGTACTTCATTCTGGTGCCTCAGAGATGGCTGTTAAAATTGTCACTATGACAAAGGATTGTTTTAAAAATTACTGTTTGGAGAGGCATGTAGGTAAGGGTTTACTGGGGAAGGAAGGGCATACAGAAATGCATTGCCTCCCACCACTGCCAAAGAATAAAAGTATGTCTTAAGCTTCAGGGTAAAACACTGAAATCCCAGAGTATTTGAAACCTCAGCAGTGCTTCAGGAGTATGATGCCATGTCTTCTGAGTACCTGTCCTGATAAGGCTGAGCTTCCTTTTCTTGCACAGAAATACATTTTTAATCTTGTAATAGTTTTATGCTTGGTTAATACAGCCTATTTTTTATGTTTTTTTTTTAAGAAACAGACGGTAACAAAACAAATCTCCACTACCGAGCAGAATGATGGCACACTTATTTTCTTGGCTTCTCTAGTATCTTCCAGTTCTACCTCCTGGGGCAAATTCAGGCCGTGCTCTACAATCCTTCCCCGCTGCCCAGGAAGACCACGTTGAGTCTTTATTGCCATCTAGTGACCGAAGCGAGAGCATTGGCACTCCGAACACATCTGGGAATCGGGAAACCGACAAGCGCTGTCTCTCTTTCTCACCCTGAACTTCGTGGTACCCTGTTACCCGCATCCCCTTACGGGCCTCAGGCGTGCAGACGTGTGGGAACTGCTGCTTTCATACTGTCCTGCCGCTCTGCAAATGAACCGGCCCTTCACCCTCCCACGGGGACCCGGCAGCTTACACAGACGCCACTCACAAAACCAAAGAGCCTTGGTTTGTCCCCAAGGAACGCACCGAGCTTGGGAGCAGGATGACCGCTCTGGGCAGCACATCCAGCCCCGGAATGACATCTGGGGTGGCATCAGATAGTAACAGCCATCTCCTCACCCCGGGAGAAGTACAGAGACAGATTGTTTACAGGTGCTTTGAAGACCCATTAGAGGTGTGTTTTGTTTTGGAGACTCTCTTGGTACTAAGACTCCTGGCAGCTGGTACACCTGCACACAAGGCACCAGAGCATGTCGGGGGGCTGCAGATTGCTCCAGGCCATGGACACCTGGATCGCTGCTCTCTTTTCCAAGCGCTGTTTTCTTTGACCCAGCTAGGACCAACTTTACGAATTACCGAATGGTCCCGTGCCGCGGCTGGCCCGGCTGCTCCTGCCTCTTCTCCCGTCCCAGCCCGAGCTCCACGCGGGGGAGCCGGTGCCACCAAGA